TTTTCCGGAAGAAAAAAATGTCAAAAATGGTCATTTTTTGAAAGTTTTTTACAGAAAAAATGTATCTCCTCTTTCAGTTTTTGACATTCCTAGAAGTTCTATATCTCAAAAAAACCGCAATTATTTTTTCTACATTTTCTATAGATGAATTTTTAATTCGTCTGATAAAACTTTTTTTATAATCAAAAAACAACACAAAAATGCGATTTTGTGCAATTTCATGAGGTTTTTGAATTATAAAAAAAGTTTTATCAGACAAATTAAAATTTCATCCATAGAAAATGTAGAGAAAATAATTGAAATTATGGTTTTAGACCTGCAATTGTGATCGCGCCAAACTTTTTTTCTGTAGATCAAAAATTAATTTGCAGTCCGGAAACGTTTTGTGGGAGAGCGTGAGGTGTCACTTTTTTTAATTCGACAATAACAAAAAAAGAATCAATTTTTCAGCCAAATCCAGCCGCTGGCGACCACGAGCTGACGCATTCGGAGAGCGGAGTCGAGCTGAAAACCTTGCTGAAACTAATCGATAATGTCATCGAAATGGCTCCGGCCACCGACGATGAGCCGTCGTCCGTCGAAAATTTGAATTTCCCGCCAGATCCGTCGAGATTCAAAGTTTCAAACACTACGACAACCGAGATTCCGGTGCCCGGATTTGTGACACTTTCTGAGACCTTGCTAGTTCCTGTCAAAAAATACCCAAAATACAATTTCGTTGGGAGGATCCTAGGTCCACGTGGCATGACTGTAAAGCAGCTGGAAAAAGAGACAGGCTGCAAGATTTTTGTAAGAGGAAGAGCTTCCAGTTTGGCGGTAATTTTCGAAAATTCAAAAAATTCTCAATAGAGCGCACTTTGCAGGCCAACCCAACATGCAAGCCAAAACGTCAAAATAACGGGATAAATCCTCCAAAACCGTCACTTTCGAATATTTCAAAGTGTGCGCTCACTGAAGAACCCCTTCACGTCTACATTGAATGCTACGATTCACCGAGTCGTGCCGAGCAAAAAATGTGTAACGCTGTGTCGATAATTCAGGATTTGTTGTCGCCACCGGTAGGTTTTTGAGCTGAAACTGCGAAAAAATCGAGAAAAACACGAGCCAGAAAACGCTGAAAACGCTTGTAGTTCATTCTCTTAGGAGCGGCGCGGTCGCGTCGCGGCTCACAACTTTTTTGAAGAGAAAATGACGAAAATTTAGTTTTCTAGCTGTATTTTCTTAAAAATAAGATATTCTGTCAAATTTCTAATAACTTTTGCTATATTTTGGCAGAAAAAATCTTCAAAACACATCTAGAAAACACTGAAAACGCTTAAAGCTTGTTGAAGTTCATTCTCTTGGGAGCGTCGCGGTCGCGTCGCGGCTCACAGATTTTTTTGGAGGGAAAGTCGAATTTTCAAAAGAAAATGAGATAGAAAACGCTAAAATTTCTCAAAATTCTTTATTTCCGCTTCAAACTTCAATAAATCAATTTCTCCAGGCCGACGGCAAGGACGAGCTCAAGCGACAGCAACTGGTGGATATATCGCTCATAAATGGCACGTATCGAGCGACCAGCGCGTCCAATGAGCACGTTCGTAAGTGAGAAACCTTAAATCCCCAAAAATCGATATTTTCCAGGTCAATACCATCGCGGACGTCAAACCGTCGATCCAACGTCCCATCCAATTCTGGACCTTCAACCCTTGAATATGGACCAGGGATTTGGTGCCCAGAATCAAGGAAATGGGGATTTAGGAGCGGTTTACGGGTAAAAATGGTTGAAAAATCATCAAAATAGAGGCAAAGGACCCCTAGAAATTATAAAAATTGACCCAAAAATCCATGTTTTCTCGAAATTTCGATCAAAATTTCAATTCAGAATCGCTCAACAACGTCGTGTATGGCAGAAACCACGTGGTCCCGATGCCTCTTCTGAAGAATACGCGAAATCCGTGTCTTCTAGAGAGTTCGTCAGTGATATTGTCAGCAAGACTAAGGTTAGGATTTTTCGATTTGGCTGAAAATGGGGGAATTTTGAGTCAAAATTGCCGATTTTGGGCTCGGAAATCGCAATTTTTCCATTAAAATATTCCAAAAAAGCTCAAAGATCGCCATTTTTCAAAAAAATGTTCCAGAACAGCCCAGTCAAAGGAACACCGACAAGCTCCGATTCGCTGTTCCAGCTCTCGGATTCTGTGGTTTCGGAGACTATGAAGTGAGTTCCTTGGCCCAACTTCCATGGCCTAGAAAGCTCAAAACTCGGCCACCAATTGCCGGTTTAGAAATTTCAAAAACTCGGCCACTATCCTTATGACCTAGAATCCTCAAATTTACTCTTCCAGAGTGGCCCAAAACCTGCTCGCCTCGCACAACTACCTGACTTCTGACGTCACCGCTTCTACCACCAAAGAACCACAGATTCTGAAGACGATTCCACTTCTGAATCCGAGGATTCAGAAGGTTCCCCAACCGCCACCTCATCAAAATCGCCATTATGGCGCCGGAGACTTCCCACCACTTCTCAATTTCTCTATCCCGCCCCCTCCTATCGTGGCTCCGCCCCCTTTGACCCCATCCCAAATGTACCGTAATCACCCGTTCCCACCAATGGAATATCAAATGTGCTTCATGTTCCCACCACCGCCACCACCCAAGAATTCCGCTGCTCCCCGTCGTTTTTAATTTTTTAAAAATTTGGAAAATTCCAAAATTTTCCACTTTTTATCCCCAATCCTCTACTCGTCTTTCTCGCCTTTCCCTGAATCTTGTAGCATTTTTTCTGTACCTCCTGTTCAATCCACACTACGTTTTATCCCCCCTATATGGCCTTAAAAAGGTGAAAAAAAAAGTTTTTTCTTCCTAAAATTTGGATTTTCCCGATTTTTTTTTGAATTTCTAGGCTTGAACTCAAATTTTCCCAAATTTTTTTCTAAAAATTCGAAAAAGTTTTCAAAAAGTGTATTTCAGAAAGTTAGGGTAATAATAGAGGATTTCAACAGAGATAAGAAGGGATGGTATGATACAACATGAAACATGGAAATTCAACGAAACAATCACTCGTCATCGACGTCCATTTTGAATGGAATTGTCTTTTGTTGCTGCTTGTTGCGAAGGATGGCGGCTGGTCCCGAAATGCCGGCGGTCTGGAAATGGATTTTGAGCCAAAAAAGCCAAAAAATATGAATTTTTAAGTTCAAAAAGGCGATTTTTCGCTGAAAATCGGTAAAAATCGATATTTTTCGAAAAAAAATATATATATAATTTCTTTTCAAAATTTCCTGGGATTTTCCCGTACTTTTCTGCCGACAATTTTGCTGGTACACGGCGAGAGCATGTTGTCCGATGGTGATCCGATGTGTAGTTCGGCTTGAATATGACGACGGTTACGAACGGCGGCTGGTGTCTCGTGTGGCAGTGGAACAACCACTGGAGTCTGAAAAAATCCGATTTTTCGACTAAAATTTCGTAAAATCAAGGTTTTTCATGCGAAAATTCGAATGTCGAGGCTATTTTTACCCCCTAAACGTCTTCTTCTAACATAAAAAATACCTACTTTTCCCTTCTTCTCGACGTTCTCGCCTTCTGGCGTCTTCTCCTCGTCTGGGACGACTTTTTGGGTTGGAGTGCTTGGTGTGGCGCTCATTATAGCTGCAAAATTCGATTTTTAAGCTGAAAAACTTAAAAAATCAGGAAAAAATCGAGAAAAACGAGCGAAAATCATGAAAATTCATTGAAAAATCATAAAAAGATCGCCTAAAATTCGAATCGAGGTCGCTTCGCGCGTGTGCGGCGGAGCGCGCTTGCATGGTTTTTCGGATCCTTATCACGTGTTTTAGTTTTCTGAGGCGGAAAAAAGTGCAAAGAAAGTCCTAGAGGCAAATGTCATGGAGATTTTGGTTTCAAGCATCGAAAATCACGAATTTTGATACAAAAACCGTTTTTGTCCAATGAAAACGAAGGGAAATAGAGGGAAATTCAATACAAATTGTGAAAAATTGTATTTTTAACATTTTAATTTGAAATTTGTCACATTTTTGCAAATCATGAGCTTGAAATTGCTTGTGCACCAATTTTTATAAAAAATATAGCATTCGATTTGTCTTGTCAAGAGCTTCAAAATGTGTATAAACACGACCCATTTTTGAAAAATTCGATTTTTCTAATTTTTTGGGTCCCACCACGAAAACTACTGGAACTCGCTTCTTTGTGTACCAATTTCTATTAAAAACATAGCATTCGATTTGTCTCGTAAAGGGCTTCAAAACGAGTATAATCATGATACACTTCCGTCATGTTTCGGTCCCACCGCGAAAGCTACAGTAACCCAAAAGTTTCGTGGTGGAACCCAACTTGCGTCAAAGGGGGTCGCGTTTATGCTCATTTTGAAGCTCTCAACGAGCTAGAAACAAATATCGAAGTTTCAAATCGAACAAAGCCTTCAAAAGAAGAACAAAAAATAAAACAATTTATTTTTTTTTTCGTACAGTAAGAACTATAAAAATGAGGTTTCGCTTTTGATTGTTGATAAATCGTTTAGTCGTTGACACTTCCATTGGATTTCTGGAAATTTTGAATTTTTCAAAAATTCAAAAAATTTGAATTTGGCGCTAAAGAATCCAAAAATCAATATTACCTTATTCATTCCGGACACTGCTCGTGAACTTTGATGCGTTCCAAGTTGTCGCGCCGAATCTGAAAAATAATTTTTTGGAAAATTTGAAAAAAAAAATTTCGCGCCAAAAATTTTTTACCTTAGATTTCAAAAAACCGCCATTTTTAATGCTGAGAGATTTCGAGAACTGAATTTTCAGCCAAAGATCGATCGATCGATAATTTTTCTTTTTTTTTAATTTCAGGGCGCCACGTGGAATTTGAGAAAAAAAACTGTGTCGCGTGTTCCAAAATAAATATTTTACAAATTTTTGAAATTTGTATGGGAGAGACATCGGTAAGGTTTTCGTGGTGGGACCCAAAAATTCAAAAATTTGAATTTTTCGAAAATGGGTCATGTTTATACTCATTTTGAAGCCCTTGACAAGACAAATTGAATGATATATTTTTCATAAAAATTGGTCCATAAAGAAGTGAGTTGAGGTAGTTTTCGTGATTCCTTCCAAGATTCGGAAAATCGAACTTTACGAAAAATAACTTTTGAAAAAATTCTGAGAGATTTGAAATGCTTAAATTTGAATTCGGCTCGTTGAGAGCTTCAAAATGAGTATAAACATGACCTAGTTTCGCCTAATTTAGGTCTCATCCCGAAAACTACAGCAACCCAAAATATTCAACTCCATTCGGTAAATTATCAATGGAGCGAATTTGCCAAATTATTCAAAATTTCAGAAATAAAACTTTCCTTGTTACCTGACGATGTATTGACGTAAAAGAAGAGTAGTACAAAAACTAATTGGTAATTGTCAATGGAGAGAATTCGCATTAATTAAAATAATAATTTCAGAACTAATAATTGCAAACAGTAGTACTGGGACCGGAAATTCAGTGCTCTAATTAAATAAATGATTTTTAAGAAGTTGTTCTTGTATAATTGTTTATATATCAAAAACTAAAAATGCTATCGAAAAGTAATTAACTACAATATTGCTCAGCATAAAATTTTACACATTTTGTTAGTTTACAAATTTTCGATTGGTCCTCTGGTTAGTGAGATATGCGCCTTTAAAGAGACACAGGCTATTCTGCGTCCTTTCACGTGGAGAGAGAGAGAGAGAGAGAGAGGGTAGAGACGCAGAGAAACCCATGATATAATTGAAACAACAACAAAAACGTCTTGTTTTACAGATAAGCAGTCAGCATACTTCAGTTATCTTTTTTCACCTCTTTCGAAATTCGTTAGTTTCGGTAGATTTCACTCTCCAAGTGTGCCTTTGTTTCTTTAAAGGCACATATCTCAAAAACCAGAAAAGCTAATTGAAATTTGAAAAATACCAAAATGAAGAACATGAAATTTCCTACATTTTCGTAATTTACAACTTTTTGATAGCCTTCTTAGTTCTCGAGATATGCGCCTTTAAACCATACCTCTCTTCAGAATGTCCACCGGTCACGCCTACCAATGGCTTACCGAGTCTCAGAAGGCTAATATTCTGGAAGTATTCTTTTCCTACGAATTCAACCATTATTTTATAAAACTAGAACTCCCGAATGGCTTTTTACATTTCGACTATAACTATGAATATGGATCTACCGTAGTGAGCTATGAGCGAGAGAAGTTATTGGTTGAAAAAGAATTGGCTAAAGTGTTTTTGGATGATCTGGAATTAATTTTGAAGAATCAAAAATTGAAATTAGGACAGTTACATATGCAAGTGATGCCTAACATCTTCCAAGAACATTATCAAGGACTCCAAGAAACTCTTAATACCATTTTTGAAAGACTAGAAGAGATTTTGACGCAGAGAAGCGAGAAGTTGGTGGTTACCCAACTATTCTTGTATCCTTACACTGTTAAACAAGGAATTTCAATTTTAAAATACCTGGATCCCAAAGAATTGACCTTTTTTGGAATGCGCTTTTATCAAGGAGTCGAGGCATCTGATATGGAGAATGTTCTAGAATTAGTGGAATGGAACAGAAAGAAGCGAATCTATTTTGAATTATTGATTTTTTCAATTACCTTGGAGCACTTGGAAGTTATCAAAAAGGTATGTTTTGAGTTAAAAACATTTTTTAAAAAGTAAAAAAAAAATTTAAAAAATTAAAATTTTTTTTTTAAATTTCAGCTAACCTCCTACAGCAACTCATTTGATGTGATATCCATTATGTATCTAGAAATCGTAGATTTTGATTTAAAATATTTTTTTCAATTCATTTTCGACAGGAATCTCACAAAATCACATTTGATCTTGAGGGGGCAGATTCAGAGGAAGGAGAAACAGTGGAAGAGGGTTTTGAGGTGAATACTATACCGCCTAAACTCACCAATAATTTAACTTTTCAGAATCTCACCCTAGAAAATACCAATGTTAGGAAGGCGTTGGAAAATTATGTTGTTCTGAAAAATGTGCTGAACGAATTGCAGCTTTTTGATATGTGAGTTTTTTGAGAAACCTTACGAAGTGTCAAGCCACCCTAGAGTGTCTGCCTCTCTTTAAACACGCATATCTAGAGGACCAGCAACTTTATCAAAAATTGGCAATTAAAAAAAAATAAAGATCATAAAATTTTGAACATTTTTTCAGTTTAATGTTTTTTTAAAAGCTTTAGTGGGGAATGAGATATGCGCCATCAAAGAGACGCAGACAGCTAGGCACACTCTCTTGAGCTCCTCTTACTCTTTCAACTTTAAAGGCGCATATCTCGCTAACTAGTCAGTTCATCAAAATATTGTAAACTAAAAAAATATGTAAAATGTTATGCGCTACATTTTTGTGATTTGCAGTTTTTTTATATCTTTACTACATAGATCATGAGATATGAGCCTTCAAAGAGAGGACAGACACCTAGCTATCCGGGCAGCCAGTGTCTGCGTCGCTTTAAAGGCGCATATCTCGCTAGCCACCAATTTTGTCTAAAATAGGCAAATTACAAAAATACAGATCATAAAATTTTAAAATGTTTTACAATTTTCTATTTTTTGGTATCTTTACTGGTTCATGAGATATGAGCATTCAAAGAGAGGACATACGCCCAGCCTCCACCCTATTATGTCTGCGCCTCTTTAAAAGCGCTTATCTTGGTAACCAGTGGACTTACCAAAAATTAGTAAACTATAAAAATAAATATCATAACATTTCTAACATCTTATAGTTTTCAACTTTTTGACAACTCTGCTGGTTAATGAGATATGCGCATTTTAAGAGGTGCAGACGTCTAGCCACCACTATAGTGTCTGCGTTTCTTTAAAGGCGCATATCTCAAGAACTAGCAACAATACCAAAAAATTACAAAATGTAAAAATAAAGCTCATGAAATTTTTAACATTTTTGTATTTTACAACTTTTTGATATGTCCATTAGTTAGAGAGATTTGCGCCTTTGAAGAGACGCAGGCTATTCTGCGTCCTTTCACGTGGAGAGAGAGAGAGAGCTAGTCTGCGCCTCTTTAAAGGCGCATATCTCGCTAACCAGTGTACCTATCAGAAAGATGAACTAATAAAATGTGTGAAATTCTATGCGCTACATTTTCATAATTAGCAAAATTTTAAATCTTATATAGTTTTTGAGAAAAAACCTCTTTCAGTCAACACCTCCGAAAAGTGAACCGAGGTATTCGCTGGTTGATAGATGCTCATCTACACCCGAACCCCCACATCACAAAAATTGAGCTCATCTTTTGCCATATCATCGAATTACGATCGATAATCGAGTTGGCGGATAGATCAACAAGAACTTTTAAATATCTAATATTGGCTAACGAAAAATCTCAATTGTTCCAAGATTTTCAAGTAAACATGAGCAATCAAACAGGACCATTGGAAGTGCTAAGAATCAAAAATCTGATTCCAAATCCTTGTAAGAAAATTGATAAATTATTTGTTGAGCTCCAGACATTGCTCAGATTAAAAATGATAAGAACGGAGAAGTTGGTTTTGGAAAATGTGTCTTACAAGAATCTAATGGCAGTTGTTCCATATGTAAACTTTGAAAATTTACAAATCGAAAATCAAAAGGATTTTGATATTGATTTTCTGGAAATTTCAACTTTGGATCAGTGGAAAAAAGCGAGGGAAATTCAAATTTCTGGAATTCGGATCAAGCAACCAATTAAAGAAATCGATATTATCAATTTTAGCAATTTGGAGATTTGTGTAGAGTCCTTGAATTCAGAAGACGTGGAGTATTTGAAAACGGTGAGATTCTTGATTTATTTTTTAAAATTGGAATTTTCAGAATCTCCTATTATTGAATTCTTTTCAAAAATTCAAAATTTTATTTCAAACAAATGCAATCGATGGATCATTGCACATCCTTATCGGGGAGCCCTACCGTATCATTACGGTATCTAAGAAGATTTGGTATTTCCGGATTCCGAATTCATATCAATATATGCATCTACTATTGGATACTGATGAAAAATTAGACATTTATAAGCAACCAATTCCCAAAATGATTGTATTTTCCCGGGTTGAAAAGGGAGACACTCCTTTTGCCTAAATCACTTCTTATGAATTTATCCATATCTCAAAAAGTAATAAAGATATCAAAAAACGGTCAACTGATAAATTGCTCAGCATAACATTTCACACATTTTATTAGTTTACAACTTTTGGATAGGTCCACTGGTTTCCGAGATATACGCTCTTGAATCTTTGTGGGGGAAGGAGCAGGAGAGACACAGACAAGCTAGACACTCTCGCTTCTCTGCGTCTCTCGTGGCTGCAAAAAAACGTGAGAGACGCAGAGAAAAATCACGCTTTTTATTTATTTAATAATTTTAAATTTTTCCCCGTGACATTCCAAAAATCCCAAAATCCAATTTTTTCTTTTTTGAAAAAAGGGAATTCTGAAAATTCACAATTCAAAAAGAATCAGTTCTCAATTTTCATTCAAATTCCACTCACAATTTTCGAAGAAGAAGAAGATGATGTCTGATTTCTAGCAATGTGAGTTTTTGGATCAAAAGGGGCGGATCCTAATTTTTTGGAAAGTCATTAAAATAATTTCCAGGTCATCGTATCAAAATCAAAACGGGAAAAATAGCATTTTGAGACTTAAACTCTAATCAATGAGGTACAGTTTGCAATAGAGCGATTTTGAAAAAAAAGTGAAATTTTTTTTTCAGAACTTGCCGATATGTCCCAAAAATCAAACTTCACCATACTATCAGATAACTCATGAATCGTTTTATCGATTTTTTAAAAGATTTTAATAAATATATTTATTGCTTTTTCTCTGCGTCTCTCTCTCTCTCTCTCTCTCTCTCCTCTCTCCTCTCTCGTCTGTGTGTTTCAAGGAAAACAGCGCCTGTAGGAAACATAGCTATATCTCAAAAACTAACAGTTCTATCAAAAATCTGTTAACTGATGAGCAATGGATTTCTATGACGATGGACAAATTTTTCAACGAAAGCAGCTTTAATTTTTGAAATCAAGGAATTTTAACTTTTTAAAAATTATAAATAAAATTGTTTTAAGAATATCTGAACTTTCACAGCTCATATCTCAAAACACATTAAAGATACTGAAAAACTGCAAATTACAAAATTGCTCAGCATAAAATTTTACACTTTTTTGTGATTTACAACTTTTTGATAGCTCCACTGGTTAGTGAGATATGAGCTGTGAAAGCCACGCANATTGCATAGCTTCTAGTCATCCATAATCCAGAATAATTAATATCTATCCCTTGTCGCAAACCGTAAGAAATTTCATATTTCACATCGATTCCATTCGATTGGAAATTAAAAATCTCCATTTCAAGTTCCAATTGGTTGGAGGTGGTTAGGCTGGAAAAGACGTTGTGTTTCTTTGAAAGCGCATATCTCAAAAACCAGAGAAGATATAATGAAGTTTTAAATTACAAGAATATTGAACATAAAATTTTACACATTTTTGTAGTTTATAAATTTTCGATA